GGCCAGAAAGAGCTTCCCAAATACTCCCTGCAGCCAGACTCCGCAGCTGTGAGCCCCATTTAGTTTATGAAGCAGAGGCTTCACAGTGAGGCTCACGTGTGCTGACACAGGGGTCCCCCTGCCTCCTGCGGCTATCAGGACCCCCCCCTCTGAGGGAGGCAGCGACAAACCCCCATGAAGCAGAGGAGAGACCGAGGCCCAGGGCGCCAGGACAGGGGGCAGGACAGGAGCTACTGTCTCACAAACAACTGTCCACAGAGGCCAGGGGCCCAATGCCCAGCCCTGGGCCCACTTGGGAACAGAGAAGAAACACCCAAGAGCAAGGGCATGGCTATGGCGGGGCAGGCGGGGGAGGGGCATGCTCCATGACATGACCCCCAAGAGACAGCTGAGCCCACAGACAGCAGCACGTGGCCCAGGACCACCCTCACACCCCTCCCGATGCCAGGCACCCGGGCACTGGCAGGCAGCCCCCCACCCTCTGCTTGGAGCCCCCACCCGCCCCAGCCCTGTCTCCTCGGCCCCTGCCCCCATCAGCCTGTGGGTTCACTGTTCCTCTTTTATTATTCCGTTTTAACAGCCTTCAGGGGGCCGAGTGGGGGGACGCGCGGCCCTGGGAGGCTCCCACGCTGTGATGAGTGCCACCAAGTGCAGAAACGGGGCCTGCACCCTGCCGTGCCGGGGGCACCCCCTTTAGACATGGCCTCTTCCGACGCACTGATTCAGGGTCGGGGGAGGGACACTCACGGGAGAGGCAGCCCTGGTCTCCAGGCTGCTGGCTCCACCCTGGGCAGCACCTCAACACGGTCTGGGCCTCCACGGCATACACCTGCCTGTAGCCTGTGTAGTAGATGGTTCTAGAAAAGAAGGGAGAGGGCAACGTTTATTGCGCGGGCGCAGCGCTGGTGGCATTCCCCGCGGCTTTAGGCTCTCACCCACCGCTCCCCACGCTGATTCTCCGACCGGCCCCATTTCAAGCTGAGCAGGTTGAGGCTCGGAGGCGGGTCGAAGGTCTGCATCCTAAAGCAGAGCCGCACCTGCACGAAGAGGGACAGCAGGAGCCGGGGACACGTGACCGGCCCCGGCCAGCTCGGCACGGGGGGGTGCTACCCCGCTCCCTCTGCACCCCTGCTGTGGGCCCAGTTCCAGGCTGGCATCAGGACGGGCATAGCACCCCACATCTGGCTCTCATCACCAGGCCAGATTGGAGGGCTCGGGGGTCAGGCTCCAAGTGTCCAGCTTGGGAACAAGCGTGGCTTCCTGGGGCCCAGTGCTGGGCGGAAGGTGCCAATTCAGACCCCAGGTTCTCAGTCCACCAGTGGACAGCAGGATGGCCCTGGGGCATCCGTGAGGGCCCCTTCCCCCCCGAGGAGCGTAGGGCTGAGCTGAGGAGACAGGGTGACCGGGAGAAGCGCGTGGACAGCAGCAGCGGGACCGGAGTGTGACCAGCACACAGGGCTGAGATCAGACGGGAGCGGGGGGGGTGGGGAGGGGGGCCTCTCAGGGGAGGGGAGGCCCTCCCACCTGCACCCCTGGACCCAGGCCGGTTCCTGCTCAGCAAAGGCTGAGCAGAGAGAGCAAGAGAACAAGAGGAAGGGGATGCCCCGAGGCCACCCACAGCCTTCAGACACAGCAACCCCACCCCACCACTGTCTGTAGGAACACTGGCCAGGAGCCCGGCCAACAGCCGTGGGGTCAAGGACCCTTGAGCCCCAGGAGTGGCCCAAGGGCCTGGACTGCCATTTCCAAGTGACGTGACTCCCTTCTTTTCGCTGGGGCTTGGCCCCAGGGAGCTGTGGGAAACCCAGGGACCCCACAAACAAACAAGGCCCCTTCCCGGAAGCGGGAGTTCATGCGCGCACGCTGCACACAGCAGCTTGGGGGAGCTTTGCAAAACACCACTTTGGCAGGACATGAATCCACTTGCCTGGAGAGAAACCGACCACAGCGGTGGACAGTATTTGACAAAGCAAACAGTGTTTGGGTCCTTCCATCGTAAATATTTATCCCTCTCCCGGGGCTACGTGCTGCTCCTCGCGGTCACTCAGAGAACAGAGACAATCGGCCCATCTGCCACCTCCCCCCACCCTCAGAAGTTAGAGACCCTCCGAGGCAGCTGTGGGCCTACTGCCCCCTCAGCCCCCCAAGAGCCGACCCCTCACTCCCCTGCAGCCCACATGGGACAGCTCACGGGGGACACAGCTCACGGAGGAGGGTGGGTGCAACAGCTCACAAGGGGACACCTCACGTGGGCTCTGGCCATGGCCAGGAAGCTGGCTCACAGCAGGGCCAGGGACGACAGGGGGACGGGGGTACCAGGCTGGTGCACACATCTCCACCTTCTGCAGGCCCCGTGGAGCCTGGGCCACAGGGGAGGAGATCTGGGGGACAGGCCTGGAGGGAGGGGTTCCGTGTGGCCTCCTGGCTCCTCCAAGCATTCCCTCCTCCTCCCTTTGCATAGACCACTCCCCCCCAAAGGGCAGGGGGCCTTTGACACAGCCTGGGGGGCTCCTCAGGCCTGGCACAGCCTGTGCTGGCTGGTGGTTTGCCAGGGAGATGCTCCTGATGCGCTAGGAGAGCTGGCCCCTGGGCTGGCAGATGGGGAGAAGGGGGGCAGGGGGCAGGGCCCGCCTCCCAGGGAAGCCGGAGCCTCTGTGCATTCCTGAAGGAGGAAGGGGAGCGTGCCAGCCAGAGGCCACACAGCTTCGACAGCCACTGGAGGAACATCTGGACGAGGCATTCAGGCAACTGCCCATAGCCAGCACGCTGGGCTCCAGGGCGGCATCACGGGAAGGGACATGACCCATTAGCAGCCAGGAGCCCCACAGAAGGGAAGTGGGGCCGAGCCCAGAAAGTGCTTGGGGCAGGTCTCAGGAAACCCCACGGGACAGAGGTGGTGAGACAGCTCTCATTCACACGGAGTGGAGGGCTGGGGGGGAAACAGCCCGTGTAGGGTGGGGTGAACCCCAACTACATTGCAGGCCAGGAGACCGGGCAGCCACCGCCCCCAAACAGGCCAGGGACCCAAACTGTTCCTGCTGAACCCGAAGGGAGGGTCCCAGACACCTGGAGCTGGGCAAGGCGAGGATGCCCAGAACCCGTTTTGCACGCAGCCCCTCCTGAGCCTTCCCAGAAGACCCTGACACAGAATGCACACTCCCTCCCCTCCGCACCGGGGCAGGAAGCATGGCAGAGACCCTGAGGCCCCCACCCCACATAACGGGGCAGCAAGGTCCTCCCAGACAGGGGGACTTTGCTCCGAGGGCCCCAGATGCCCCACTAGGACACTGAAGGCACCCAGATGCTTTGGAAACGCTGCTCCCACCCCACCCAGGCCAGCCTGGGGGCCGGTGACGTGGAGCTGGGGGCCAGCGACGGGGAGCCTGGGTGCTTCTCAGCACAGCCACCAACCAACTCTCCAGCCCGGGGGCCACAGGGTTCCTGGCGGCTTCACCGTGAGCGGCTGCGGGGACACGGCCCAAGCTGTGGACACTGCTCAGAGTGCCTCTCTGGGGGAAGCACGAGGCGAGCTGTCTTCCTTCTGCCCTGGGTTTCTCAGCATCAGGCCCCTGACGCTCATGCAGGACCCTTCGTGCTTGCAGGGCCGTCCTGAGCACCAGAGGCTCACTGGGGGGCAATGGGAGGGAGTTCACACCCCACACGGAGGACACCACACAGGCCACCCCCAAAGGCCTCGCTGCGAAGCTGGACACCACGCCCCATCTGAGGCCCATTCCGGCCTTCCCCGCACCTAACCTGGAGGCCTTGCTGCTTCCAGCCAGGGGAGTTGCCCGAGCTGAGGCCCCCCCACTGCCCAGCTTTGCAATCGTACAGATTCCAGAGCCTGAGTCTATAAAAAGTGGAGAGGTATGCAAAGGCACTCCTTAATTTGATTTTGAAATAAAATCTTGAGCAATAAAAGGTTTTGCACTGGCTCTTCTGGGAATGAGGCCCAGGGGTTCGGCCGCAGCAGTCCCGCAGAACTGAGCAGGCTGGGCACCTGCTTTTCCCCTCTCATGTGGCCAAACCCCCCCAGGGGTCCCCGCCTGCCGCACGAGATCCCTGTCCCCCTCAGAGCACCCCTCCCAGAGTCCCCTCCTCCCTGTAGGGCCACCACTGCACGGAGAAGGCTCCGAGATCAGGACAGTCCCCCACCCCAGCCACCCCGCTCCCACACGGGACCCGGGGACCCCAGCACATACCTCCGCTCGTGGCCGATGCACCACGCCTGCCGCCCACAGCCCGGCTTCCACACGGGCACGGTTCGGCTGAAAGCCTGCACACAGGGCTGGCGGCGGCCCACCAAGGTCAGCTCCTGTTCGGCACACACGTGGGGCCTGGGACAGAGGACAGATGTCAGCGCCCCAGCCACCAGTGGCCAGCAGGCCCAAGGCCGCCTGCACACCCACCCTGGGGCGTGGAGCCATCCGGGGTGGGGTCCAGACCATGGCCAGGCCCCACGGCAGGGCCCCCAGGCCGGGGCCCCTCCCAGGCCTGCAGCAGGCCCAGGCTCAAGGGTGTGGGCCTCAGAGGAAGAGGGTCATATCTGAGCATCCTCCATGCAGGGGCCCCAAGCTGCCCACAGGGTTACTCTAATCCTGCCCAAACCCCAAAGTATAGATACCGCTGCTGCCTTGCACAGGGCACTGGGGGGTCCATGGGAACAGTGACGTCAACCCTGCATTCGTGTGACTCCCATCCCAGGCCCCCTCTTCCGCAGCCAGGCCGGCCTCAGAGATGGCCCTGAGCCGCGGGTGCTGGGCGCACGGCCGGGTGGGATTCGCTCGGGCCAGAACAAGCAGAGGAGGCAGGCGTGGGAGGAGCGGAGCCTCCAGGGAAGGCGGAGTGGGGGGCTCAGCCGGGGCCCTGCGATTTTGGTGGCTCCTCGGCCCCCAGGGGCCCCCACGGGTGAACGCATGGACAGGAGCACGCCACACTCAGGAAGGACGAGGTGGCTGAGAAGGGGCAGAAGGGGCCCAGCCCTGCTCCAGAAGGGGAGGCGAGGGGAGGGGCGCAGCTCACCCCAGGCACGCCCGGATTCAGGGACCAGGGTGGTCCCCACACAGGCAAGTTTCACAAAGTCCAGGAGAGAAGGCAAAGCTTCGCAAGTCTGTGAGACCAGCCAGGGTCCTCTGCTGAAGAGGATGGGGTGGGCTGGGTTCTCCTCGGAAGACCCCTCTGCTTTCCTGGCCCTCTTCAAACCACAGCCACCGTGAGGGTCCTAAGGGTCCCACAGCAGCCCTGCGGGCTCATTCCGGCGGGTCACTCGCCCGTGCCCTGCCCTCACTCCGGGGCACCTGCGCACTCCTCCCCGAGGCCTGCAGGGCCGCCTGGCTCCCCCCTCTCTCCACAGCCCTGAGAACAGCCTCAGTCTTGCTGGTTCTCCATTGGCCCCACAGGGCTGGGGGTGAGCGCCGGAACGCTCTCTTCTGGGGAGTTCCCAGTCCTTCACAAGCATAACCTCGGCCAGCTTTTCCATTTGTGGGGTGGAGGAGGTGGGATGGGGGAGGGAACGGACAGAGAGACCAAAGTGTCGCCCCAGTGGCCGTTGGCTCCTGCTTCCCATCTGGGGAGGGAAGGCAATTCCCAGACTACAAAGTGAACACAGTTCTGTCGGACATCTGCTCCCTGGCAGTGAGGGGCTCCTGGAGGCTGGTGGCCTTTGCCCAGGGCTGAGGTAAAGGTGGGTGTGAGAAGTATCCCTCCAGGGTAGGCAGTTCCAGGCCCTGATGGGCCCCGGACGATGGCCCCAGGGTGAGGAGGTGAGGATGGGGACACCAGGGCAGGGAGGGGGCTGGGGAGCCAGGCCACACACATCCCCTGGTCCAGAAGGAGGGCTAGGTGACGGAGAGGTGTCTCCATCACGTCTGTTCTTACAGGCTCCCCGTTTGAACCCCACAGCGGGCCTCTGAACACACGTTCCCCTGGCCTGGGTGCAGCATGGAGCTTGGGACCCCGCAGCCTCGGACTGCGGCCAGGTGGAGCTCCAGTGTGTGGGGACACCATCTCCCTGTCCCGACCCTGCTTCCCCAGCCCAGCCAGTAGCCTTGGGCCAGCCCTGTGTGGAGTGAGCAGTCATTCCAGGCCCCAGGAAGGAAAGCCAACCATTCTTCCATCAGAAATTCACTTCAGAGACACAAATAAATACATAAAGACAGGTTGCAGGGTTTTGAATCTGGACATGGTCGGCCAGTGGGAGCCAAAGAACCAGCCACAGGCTCCCACGGGTCCACAAAGGCCCCCTGAGCACCAGGGCTGTGAGTCAGTGGGACCCCCCCAACCACGGCAACCCTCTTCTCTTTGCCTCCCCCAGAGGCCCACCAAGGGGTTCAGGAAAGCTAGCCACAGAGGGTGGGGATGTCTGTGCCAGGCCCTGCAGGCTCATCACATCTCCCCCAAGGCAAGGGTGGCAAGGGGCACAGGACCAGTGTGGATAAAGCACTTTCTGGAACCCTTGCTGTTCTCCGGGCCCCGTCCCCTGCTCCTCTGGGGTGCAAGGAGCAAATTCTGGCACCTCCAGGAGCCCAGCAGCTTCCCCCTCTCTGGGGTCTCGCAGAAGGGTGCTCTCCCTCACGCACTCAGCCGGCCAGCAGTGTCCACTGTGGCCCCACTGCATGCTGGGGCCTGCATCAGCTGCTCCAGAGACAACCAGAGACAGCAGAGCAGAGGAAGATGTACCCCGAGGTGTCGCAGAGCTCAACATGCCTGGGGCGATCTGAGAACAGACGCCCCACCAAGAAACAGGGACACAGGCCCCCAGAGGGGCAGCCACCCCTTTCACACTCCCTGAGGGGGAAGAGGAGAAAGAGAGAGGGGAGACGGGAGAGGAGGCTTTGGGGAGAGCATGAAGCAGGAAGAGAAGGAGGTCTCGGGCAATCCACTAGCCGCTGGTTTGAAATGCTCACCCCAGCTGGGCCAGAGGCCTCTTGGAGCCCCGGGTGAGCAGGTCAACCTCAGGACACAGGCCTTTAGCTCCACTCCTCAGGGGCTCAGGGAAAGGGGCCCAGTAGGGGTGACAAGCAGTCTCCACAAGCACACTGGGGCAGAAGCCCCCTCTTAAGGAGGAGCCCTCTGTCCTCGTGGGCTGAGCAGCTGTCCACCTGACCAGCACCCTGGAATTCCTAGGAGTCTGGGCCTTTGGAAGTCCCCGGCTAACCCTGCAAAGAGCAGGCAGGCTGAGTGGCCAGACGGCCACTGTGAGAATCCTTCTGAGGCTGCAGCTTCCCTTGGACAAACTAACTCACTGGGATCGCAGGAAAGAAAAATGTCCAGCAGAAGTCACGCAGAGAAGTCGGGACTCAGGCCACTCACATTTCTGGATGCAAAGGCCCCCTTTTCCTTTGAAAAGGCCACAAGGAAACCCTCCCCCTTGGGGCAAAGCAAGACCCAGGGTGGGGGTCCTGGGGCCTGGACTGCCCCACCCCCACCCCCAGCTCTGCCTGGAAGTGACCCTCCTGCACGGCCAGGTGCTAGACAGGGGTCCCTAACCCGGGCCGGGCCACTTGCCTGGCCCGCTGAAGCCTTCAGCAGCCTGTCCGCATTGGGCAGGCCCCAGGCCCAGCACCCTGCAGGAGCCCTGGGGTGGGGGCTGCCAGCAGGAGCCTCCCCTCCTCCTCCCCTTCCCTGGCTCACTTTGGCACCAGGTTTCCTAGGAGGCCAGCGCAAGGATTGATCTGCTGTCCGCTAAACGGCCCATTGGGGAATCATCTTTCAAAACTGAAATTCATCTCAGCTGGCTCCCTGACCCTCTCTTCCTGCCCATTCTGGTACTGAGTTTCTTCTCCTGTCTCCCTGCCCCAGCACGCACGTGTTTAACACATACACCACGTTCAGGGGCCCCCTGTCTGGGCGCACCCCGCCCCTGCACAGGCCCCCCAGGCCCCAGGAGGCAGGCTTTGGAAGGAAGTGAGAAGGGGCTGCTTCCTTCCTGCTTTCTCTGCCCGCAAGGACCCCGACTGGAGTGCAGCGTCTGCCAGAGCGCGGACGCACGTTAGAGTGGAGGAAGACGGTCGGCGTTAGGGAAGGAGGAGGTGGCCCTGCTACCGAAGCGCCCCCCGACCCAAGCCCCGACGCTCCCCAGTTACGGCAAAGAGCCCAACCTTGTCAGGGCCCCAGGGACAAAGCTGCCCAGGGGCCCGGGGCTCCCGCCGTCCAGCGGAGCCCCCCCCACCCCGCTACTCACAGGCCGGGCTGCAGGCGGAGCAGGGCGCTCGCTGGCCCTGCGGGAAGCAACAGCACCAGGGCCAGGGCCACCGCGCGCCCCGCCGCCCTCGCCTCCGGAAGGACGGGCATCGTGTCCGCGGCCCCGCGCCGGGTCCCCGCTCTGGTCCGCCGCTCACAGGAGGCCCCCGGGGGCCCTCGGAGC